CCCGAATGTTGAGTGAATGTTGTGTTTTATGGTTAATTTTTTACTCACATTTTTCTTTTATTTCTTGTCTTGCACTCCCTTCCCCCATTGTTGTAAACTGCCCTGAGTCCCCTCAGGGAAAAGGGCGGCCTATAAATGTTCAATAAATCTACAAATCTAAATCTTAACACTGTTGATGCAGATATCACCCAACAGATTGTGCTGTGATGCCAGAATGGACTGACTTCTTGCTGGCTATAAATGCCTGAGCAATGTACTCTAGCCTACTAGCTGATGGATGATGGACTGTTTAACTTGTCTCTCCAGAATTCCTACTTTATAGGAAGCAAATTGTCTATTGATCTATATTAGTAAAGTAAGTTTGAGTTATACTTTTAGTGCTCTTCCCTGCACACAGCTACTTTGTGTTGTGTTGCTGAGTTTGGTTGTTTACTTGCAAATATTTTGCTATCCTACTAGATAACATCATCAGTGCTAGCAAGTGTAGGGTTTGCCTTATTTACCCTATATACAATAGCTTGTTCTGCTAGTATTGTTGGGGGTGTGGTTTTCTCCATGGTAATTCCTCAATTTGGATATTATTTTCTGCTTGTTTGGTGTTAATCTCTGCTTTTTTGGGTAGTGGTTGCTGGAGAGGATGTTTTCTAGTCTTTTTGTTTCCTTATCTTTTTAATGCCTCTTTTGTTTGCTGTGTAAAAGTAGTTTATCTCTATATGTCTACTGATGGCTGATTTGTCTGAATATCAAGCTTCCAGGAATTCCTTAGTGTTTTTGATCTAGAATGCTCAGTTTCTCAATTGAAGCTCTGCTTGAGTTTGGTAATATGTTGTGACATTTTCATTGTGTCTTCTGACTGCTATTTGGTGTTCATGGATGTGCTCTATTAGTCTTTTGCTTGTCTGTCCTACCTACCATTTCACCCCCCATCAACATTGGCAGGGCAAGCTACTATATATATGAAGAGGAGTAAATCCCAGTCTCACTAGCACTGATGTTACCTAGTCAGGTAATGAAATGTCTGCAAGCAAACAATCGAGATGAGAGATCATCAAGGACCCCACAGTTCTAGCCTGAGGTACATGTATTTTCTTTGTTGATATTTTAGTTTAGGGATATTTTAGTTTAATTTAGTTAGTTAAGAGTAGAAAGGTCTGGGCAGAAAAATTTGGGGTACAGTTTTTTTGTGCCTGTTGAAAGTTGGAACTGACTTTAGGCGTGAAACAGGAACCCAGTCTTAGCACATCTTGGATTAACAGAGTACATGAAGAACCCCTCTGGGTCACCTTTGTATGAATTTCAATAGTTCTGGGATTTGTGCTGTTAGGACAACCATTTTATGCCACTAGTTTAAAGCATACCAGATAAATTGACAGATTAAATTTCTTGAAGCTAAATTGTAGCCAGTCTGTGACTAGGTAATCAGCTTCAAATGCTAGCGTGTTTTCAAGAGATGCCATATGCAATCATTACTCGCCCCCTTTTGGGTAAGAACTGCATTTCCTGGGCCATAATGGAATAAACATTACCCAATTCCTTGTGTATATTCACCTTAAATATCACTCTGGATAGTTTTGGGTCAGTATCAATCAAACATACTGTAGACAGGCTTTCTGATCATGAAGCCACTAGAACCCTGAGTCTCTGCTCTATTTTCTGAAAATTGGGAGAATATTTCATTTGTCTTTTCTTCACTGTTGTGAACAGGTCACTTGAGAGAGATCTTCATCTAAACTGTAGTAAAACATGTCAGTATAGGATCCACTCTCCTTAATTCAAGCGCTGATGACTCACCCTGTTTACTAATCTCTGCTGATATGGAGCATAGATATTTGTCGACATCATTCCAGTAGTTGTACACCTTCCTCTGAAGGCCCACTATTTCTATCCACCCTACCTGATTACATAGAATTTGGTCATAACATTGTCCATATGACAACAATTTAGTGTGAAAATGCCTTCAGAAGCATTGCTACAATCTTAATCCCAGTTTATAGCAATAGCAGTAGACTTATATACCGCTTCATAGGCCTTTCAGGCCTCTCTAAGCGGTTTACAGAGAGTCAGCATATTGCCCCCAACAATCTGGGTCCTCATTTTACCCACCTCGGAAGGATGGAAGGCTGAGTCAACCCTGAGCCGGTGAGATTTGAACCGCTGACCTGCTGATCTAGCAGTAGCCTGCAGTGCTGCATTTAACCACTGCGCCACCTTGGCTCTAGCGTGGATAGAGCCACTCTACAGCAAGCTGTGACTACTAACAGTTTGTTAGTAGACAATACTAAACTATGATAGAACTATAATCTCTGCATTAACCTGTTTGGGAATTAGGCTCCCCACCTTATTAGGATAGCTTCTATTGGTTATTTGATCAGAAAGACAAATGGTTTATTTATGATAAGCTGCCAATGCAATGATTGGGTTACCTTGCTTGGCATTGTCTTATGCAGATAGGACTGGATGTAGGCTGGAAAGAACTACTGGAGTGATCTGGAATGGAATTGGGCCTATAGTGCTGAATCAAGAGTTGTATTATTATCCTATTAATCTTGCCAGCGTCTTGAGGGCTGCCTTCTAGAGGCTAAAGTCTCCCTTACACTTTTCAAACCTTAACAGTATTGTCCTGAGACAAGAAATATTTTCTCTCTCTCCTGCTGATTGTAATTCCCAGGGGCAGGTTGCTTTAATAATATGAATATGCTCTTGGTGAAATTCACCATGAGATCATGCTCTGTGAGGTATCAAAGCATCAATATTAGGCTGTTAATTGCTTTCACCACAGAAGGCATTCTGATAAACAATTCATTCTAAGATAAAATGAGGAACCACCATTATCATCTCTATCTGGTAAATACTCTGGATGCTAAGAAAAGTCCAAAAAATAGTGCTTTGAACTTGAATTTGTTCTTCCTGTATGTAATTTGAGGCATTTATAGTGGGTTAGCCTGACTAGGAAGTGTAAGTAATGCTACAAGAGGTGTTTCACATATTAGGAAATTGTCGAGCATAAAATAACCAACCTTTGGGGTTGGCAACTCAGTCATTAAATGTTGTCACTAAGTGAAACCACACTTCTGCTTATGACCTTGCTTTACTGACCTGCAAAGCCTGTAAATGTGAGGATTGGTCATTATTTTTTATCATTGTGTAACCATGAATGGTCACTAAATGAGGCAGTCACTAAGTGATAACTACCTGCATTGCCTATGCTATAGGCAGCATCTTCAGCAACCAAGAACATAACTTATTGTTGTATAGGTAATCTTCATTAAATAACCACTCATTTAGTGAGCGTTCAAAGATATGACTTTGCTGAACCAAAGGGATTTTACAACACAGCCTCATAATTGCAGCCATTGCCTTGTCCCCCTGGTCATGTGATCTCACGTCAAGCAAAGTCAATGGGAAAGTTGGCAGGAGATCACAAATGGTGTTCCCACAACCACAAGAATCTGTGATATGCTTGACAGGGGCAATTGGGATTGCTGCAACTGTTGTTAAGTCACATGAAGTCATCCTTTATGATGTCATTTAGCAATGGAGTTGCCAGTCCTTATTACTGTAGTTAATATATTCTACCTTAAAAAAAAACCTAATTTACTGTATACTCATATCTAAGAAATAAAAGCTAATGCATATATAAAAGTAGCAATTATTTTTCCCCCACTTCAAATATACCATTATAAAAATTTTCTTCATGCTCTCAGTAATACTGAGATTCTGAAATAAAGATTGTTCTGCTGGTCCAGTGCAAAGAAGCACAGTTCAAATTTCTGGATCATTTTGACTATCCATGATGAGAATTATAACAGAGGAAGGGTGCTCTATGTCCTTTCTACAGAGAAAGTTCAGAAACATGCAGCTCATTACAGGTATTTCTCACTTACTTTATCTGCCTTCTTTAGTCATCATTGTAAAAATAGCTTTTTGAGCAATCCTTGTATTTATGACTCTCAAATGGACATGATCACCACTGGGGCACTTCCTAATCAGCATGCATTATTGACCATTACAATGTACAGCAATCATATGATCACCACTCACTTGTTTCATAACTGGCTTCTCACAAGTAGTGTTAATAGAGAATATGGAAGTAAAATTGAAGTTGCAGTTATGTGATGTCTTGCTTAACGACTGGTATGATTTCTTTAATGACCAATAAAAAGTAATGTTAAGTCTGTCATAGTCACATGATTTTACACTTAGCGACCACATGCTTACTGATGGAATTGCCATTCCCAATTGTGGTCACAAAGTGAGAACTACCTGTAATTATTTTACTTTACTTACTTTAGCACAATAACCTATAATAAAGCCCTGCTGTGTTGATGACTTTGGGAATAGATTCAAGAGTACAATTTCTTGCAAAATGCACAATTCATCATATCCTATGTTATCTAGCAAAATCCCTATATTGTGCAGTAATGTTTTTTTTAAACAAACAAATAAACAAACAAAGCAAGTAAAAGTGTAAGCTTCCCAAAGTCACTTGTGGTGAGATGGACAGCTATACAAATATTATAAATAAATAAAAACAAAGCATGCATATTCCTGTTGCATTTTGGAGGGCCATTTCTGCATACCCTCAACAACTACTAAAAACATTTTTGTATTCATTAGTAATTAATCACTATAATACTTTCAAGATTTGTTCTGACTTTACAAAATACATTTAAAACATTGTGCATGGAAACATACTCTTTGATTTTCTTTTCTGATGGCTCTGAGCCAGGATCAAATATTCCTTTAGGAAGGTGCTGAATTAGTCCAATCCTTTGAGCTATCCGGATTTGTTCCTCTTCTGTTAGCTGTGTGGCAAGACGTGCCTGGCTAGGCGTTGGGTGATACACTGGAATTGGAGTGTGATCCTAGAAAGTCAGACAACAGTGTGGCTGAACATTTACTATTTTAATAAGTAGCTTGTTACATGAATTCATAATTATACATAATACAAGCAACAATTCCCTTTTCTCTCAGATTTCTAGAAAAATTAAAATACTCGCCCTTTTAACATGCCCTCACTGTAACAAATTAAAATAATCCAGAGAAATCTGATACTGACACATATAGCTATTTATCATTTTGACACACAGAGGGCTGAACTGTAAGATAATATTGTGGTATGGCAGATGGGCTAAAATAAGTTTTCTAATGAGTGTCCAAAGCTTTTCTACAGGATCAGACAGCTGTTACTTTCACATGTCACAGAAGCCCCCTTTTTTCTATACACACATCTGTTATGAATCATGCAGGCCATTAATTCACTACTAACGAGTGGATCCCCTACTTGTTTTCTAACTAGTCTAACACATATTTTGATTTGCAATATGTTAGCATGCAAAGATAATTTCCCAATTTATTTCAGGCATTTCTCCTGAATCATTTTATTCTGAACTAAGGAGGCAAATTAGATAACAAGCATGCACAAAATTTTCTGTATTGTACACAGAAATCCTAAATAGCACTGCTCCATTCAGAATTTCAGGAGGACTGTTTGAAGTCAACATTCAGCTTAATTTTGTAGTTTGTCCAATGATCACTAATTAAAATTTAAAGAGCAAGAGTATCAGAAATAATACACTAATAATACACTAGCAGTCAACATCTGGTACATGTATTACCCTTTTCCAATTTGATGCCTACTTGACATGTTGGAACACAACTTCCACAAATGCTAGCCAGCATGGCTTGAAGAATAATGGGAGACACAGCCTAATAATTATGGAAGATAATAAGCTGGAAACAACTGACATACACTATGAACGCTTGGGATTATAAAATGCATTTATCCTTTTTTTAAAGTAATCTATGCTGCACAGTTATGCAGTAATTAATTCCACAGAGCTGGCTTGGTTTTGGTCTTTTTAAACATCAGTCTTTATTCATCTCTGTCTATTCATTTCAGATGAATGTTGAAGTGTCCTTGTAAATCCTTACTCATATGTACAGTCTCTTTTCAAATATCCACTATGAACAATATAAAGGGAATTATTGCTTTATTCCATTCCCTGCTACTTACTGCACAAATTGTTCATGCCTAACTTAAAAGTGGATGGTTAGTTTTTGGCATTGAATGTTATATGACCACGGTCATAATTAAATGCACGGTTCAGTGTATTGTATGAATCCAGGCAAATGAGCAAGCTGTGACTCATCTAACCATGAATCAGCATATCCTGTAACAATAGTTCTCAACCTGTGGTCCGCAGACCCCTGGGAGGACCATGATGTCATCACAGAGGAGGTCCACGAAAGCTTCAAAAATGTTATGATTTAAATCTTGAGTTAAGTCTTGGTGGTCCGGGGACACAAAAGGTATTTAAAGGGAGTCTGTGGTGAAGAAAAGGTGGAGAATCCTGTTGTAACAAATTTCAGCCAGGTCTGTAGTAACATATAAAACTATTCTCTATTTCTCAGCCTTGTCTCTTCTTCCTTTGTAGAACAGCAACTTCACTTTGGAAAAAAAGTAGCCTGTATGTGTGACAGCTTGTGAAAACATAAAAGAAAAATATAATTGCTCTCAAATATCTTGTGCTCTCAGACACAAGTAATAGCAATCAGAGGCAGCTGAGCCAACTATTCAAAGAATGACACCAAACAATGTGTGCTAGGTAATTTATCTCTGGAAAGAGATAATGGCACATGAAATCAAAAGAATTTGTTTTCTAAGCATTCACAAGGAACAAAGTATGCATATTTAACAAAAATAGGCTGGGAGCTTAACACACGCGTCAGATCTTTATTTGCTTTAGCAAACAATCCCTGATTGATAGCATTTTTGTAGCATGAGTTAAATTCCAGTTCCCCTTTACCCAATTTCACTTGCAATTCAAACTTGATAGAGATCTTTATCAAAAGCTCTTGGGTAAATTTAGCAATAATGAGATGAGATGACTTCCTAACAGTGAGGACAATTAACAGTGGGAATGGCTTGCCTTCAGAAGTTGTAGGAGGTTCTTAAGAAAAGACTGGGCAGTTGTCTGTCTCAAATGGTATAGGGCTCCTGCTTGAGCAGTGGTTTGGACTAGAAGGCCCCCAAGGTCCCTTCCAGCTTTATTCTGACTTCCAAAGGACAGAAATAAAAAAGTAGATCCCCCAAAGGCCTGGTAGTTTTAAACTTGTTCATAAATCATCATTACTTAGAGGATAGGAAATGATGCAGAAGTATTCGGGGCACTAAAAACCAAAAGGGATTATGAATTCAGGGTTTGAACCTATGAAGAAGGTAAACTTAATACTAGGGATCATTATGAAATGGGCTGAAAATAAAACTGCCAACATTGTTATACAAATCTACTTCTGGCACTCCATGCACAGTTATGGTCTGATATTTTGAGATGTACATACTAAAACTAGAAAAAATACTCGACTTACAACTACAATTGAGACCAGAATATCAGGCACAATTCATTTATGATAGTAAGTTGAGGCATCCTCATAACTTAGATCTGATTTTACAACATTTTGTGTGGTGGCTGTTAAGTGGACACAGTGACAGTAAGTGCAAACCCATTCTCCAAAATGGGTGTTTTTTACCAGAAATCTGCAAAAACTGCCAGAAACCAGGAATAATCATTGCAAATCAGTCATATGACCATGGGAAGCTGCAAGCGATTGTAATGGCAAGCCAGCTGCCAAGCACCTGAAATGTGTTTATGTGACCATGGGGTTGTGGTGGGATGCCACATTTTACAATAGCCAGAACTATCATGGATCACAAGGCACCCATCCCAGGCCCATCATCATTTCAAATGGTTGTTAAACGGTGATAAGTTAATGACTATCTAATCAGAAACTAAGTTCACGTGGAGGATATTGGGTCAGACATTCTCAACTCAACAATCAACTCACAGGATTGCGATTGTATAATAATAAATTGAAGCCTTATGTATGCTGCCTATATGAAAGGCAATGTAGCAATGAACTTAATTTTTACAAATGTGGAGGACCTCTGACATCTTCCTTGCAAAAAAAGGGGGGCTAAATCTTTAGGGAATAGAAAAAGAAGCAATTGAAGACATGACTGAAGCGAATGAAATCACAAATGGTAAACAGAAAAAGTGATTGACAGAAAACCCCCCAGAAAAAAGATTGGCTAAATTCATGGAAGACAGTTTTTATGAAAACTCAACATTACATCTGAGTCAGGGGATCATGCCTGCAAATACCATGTATAAGAGAATAATGGTAACAGAGAGGGGTGTAGCATAGCAATAGCACTTAGACTTATATACCGCTTCATAGTGCTTTTACAGCCCTCTCTAAGCAGTTTACAGAGTCAGCATATTGTCCCCAACAATCTGGGTCCTCATTTTACCCACCTCGGAAGGATGAAAGGCTGAGTCAACCTTGAGCGATGAGATTTGAACTGCCGAACTGCAGTTACCGATCAACTGAAGTAGCCTGCAGTACTGCACTCTAACCACTGCGCCAACTCAGCTCTTATTGAGTATTTTAATTTGAATGAAATGCAGGACCAAAATGAACCTTGACTTAATCTAGCAGGGTTACTATATTCTCATTCTTTCTCATACTCTGGACACATACATTTCTACATATTGTTTTAAATGAAAAGCTGTCCCTCCATAGATGAAAAAGATTAAATACGTTTATTCAACCAGACAGTAAGAGTTGTAAGTAAGTAGCTGTTCCTTTACTTCCCTACTTCCTTCCAAGGCAGAGTTTTTATGGTGTTTTGTATGTCTAGACTATCCCTTTCAGCCCATAATCAGCTAGCATGTTGAGTATGTTATGCTGATTATGAGTCTTTTCAGTGCAGACAATTTGATATGTTAACCTAGATTTGCCTGCAATGTACGTAAACAGTAAAGAGCTTAGTTTGTAGAGCCTCCCAGGTCTAAAAAAAACCTTCATGAACCAAACTGTTCATTTGATTTTTGGTTTTCTCCTACAGAATGTTGCTAAAGGCACATTTGTTGTCTTTCTTCCTATCTCATTTCATGATGTTACAGGAAATCCAATAATAGCTTCCTTTTGTAACTTTCTTGTGTTTTGTCTACAGAGTTCTCAGTCATCAAGGTCATAGTTGTCCCAAAGGTACTTTTTAAAAAGGCAACAACTGGACGTTGTTTTTCCTTGAAGACATTTTGCTTCTCTCCAAAGCTGAAAAAACTGAAGAAGCTTCTTGGCTGAGAAGGGAAACATTCTTCAAAGAAAATAAAGTCCAGTTCCTTTTGAAAAAGCACCTTTGGGTTTTCTGTGTTTTCTACTTCCTTTTTTCTTACCACATACAATATATTAAAAAATAAAAGAATGTTTGCACAATTTCTTTGCTTCATAGTACTAGCCTTTGTTTGGAAGCCCCCACCGCAAAAATAAATTGCATTCTCTAATAAACTACCCCAACAGCCTTCCATTTACCATGTCTTGTAATAAGTTAATGTTTTTCCATAGCTGAATGGCTGTTCCTAGTTCTTTGTTTAGAATATTGATCATGACTTAGCTTAATTCCATTAATTTATGTCTCATATTTTTTCTGATTGGGGAAAGTAATTACAGCAGTCCAAATGTAGACTTGCCTACACTCACAGCAGCCCAAGTAGTTTTCTCTTCGACCAAGGGAGCTTCCAGACTGATGGTTGGTAGCACAAAAACAGCACTGTGCAGCTGATATTTCATATTTTTCTCCTTAAAAGGTATTTGGTAATAAGAGGGGGGAAAACAGGAAGTAATGAGAAAACACAGGAAGGTTACAGCGAGCAGATGTCACTTTCTGGAGTCTAAATTTTCACAAACGAGTTAGAACAACAGCTGCAATAATAAAAGCCTCCTCTAAACCCACCCCAAGTTTAAAAACATGTTTCCAATCCATGGGCAACAATACTGTGCAACAGAGCCGGTCGCCGCTAAATGAATTCATCCTTGTAGAAATCTGCGGAAGAAGTGGGGGGGGGGCGTCAACACTGCAGCAACATCTGCCCTTATCTCCTAGGGTTCACGGTGTGGACCGAGTCAAGTTCTCCATTATGGCTCCGGCCCATGATGGAGAACTCGCGTTACTTGCCCCCGAGTCGCGACATTCCCCAATGCCACCCGAATTTCTCCCTCTCGTCTGCACGCTAGCCCCTCGCGGGCTACTCAAAGCGGACCCCAACTGGCGAGGGCATGGGAGCATCATCAGCCCCAGGGTTTCGGGGCTCCCTTCCCCACCCCACGCGGTACCTGGTAGGGGGGCGGTGGGGCAGGGAGGGGGAGCGGGTCTCCTGGCCCAAGACTCGCCCCATCGCCGGTAGAATCGTTGAGTAGCGACAGGTCATCAGCTGCCTGCGAGGACAGGCAGCCCCCCATGCCCGCCCGCTCCGGGCCGCTGCCGGGACCGGCCCGGCCAACCTCCGTCTACCAGCTCTAGAGGGAGGGGGGAGTGACGGCTGAGAAAGAGGGCCTCGCCTAGCATGACGGGACTTGTAGTTCTCGGCTCCAGGAGCCTTGCGCAATAAAGAACTCGTTCTCAGGGTGCAGAGGAGACGGGTGAGGCATAGTGCTGTTCGGTACTTCGCTTTCAGCCTCCTTTCCTTTCAAGCTGATGCTGAATAAGGGAGGCACCACCATGCAGTAAACAATCTGCTTTAAAACAATTATGTAATTTTAGGCGTAGTAGTGATAAAGCTACTAAACAGCCCCCATCCCCTGATATTTGAGATGTTTTACAATACCAAATCAACCGTGTTATTCTGGCGATATTTTACTTACATTACAAATTTTTGCTAGAAACATTTTCATTCCTGAGGTTTAAATAATGCTTCAAATGGGTAACATTTGATATAGTGGCTAACAAAAAATGTAGAGCACCTTTATACATTCCACACTTTTCATGAAACCATCAACTCAGGTAAATGTCTTGCATGAGTTATTTTCCTGTTTTCTATAACTCTCCTCTCATCCAACAGGCAACCTTGGGATCTTGACTGAACTTTGTTTACTTGTTGTGAAAGGCTAATCTCTGTAACAGTCAATGACGGAAGAGGTTTTTGTTGATATTTTGTCAGGAGAAGCTTCTTCTACCTGTCTATTTAAATAATTACAAGATTGTAGGTTTTTACGTTAAGATTCTTTAAAAGGGAAGACTCTATCCCTCATTGTGCATTTCTTTCCTATAAATTGTGTGCTTTTGCCTTCTTGAAAAAGCGTTATGGATTTGATGTCATTTCATATATATACCACAGAGAGAGGGGGAACAGTATGCATTCTTCCTGTTTTGTTTAATATGGTTTTGATGAGCTTTGGAGAATTCTAGAGACATTTGCAGTGATTTTTGGACCAAAACTTTCTGACCCAATTTTGTTTTCTTATCTGTTCTCATTTTGTAGAGGTTTGTTCTTTGAAAATAAATATGATTTTAACTTCCATGTTCAAGTTTATTTCCTAAGAAAGCAAAACCAAATAGTCATGATCCCTAGGCAAAATTAAAATGTTAACTTTCAGGACAGCCTATGCACTTTTGCTTTATAACTTTTAAAGCTCCATATGTTAATCACTGCAAAGGCAATACACTCCTAATGTAATAGGTTGTAATCTAGGTTACATATAAATATTGTCCAAATTTTATAATTTCAGTTATTTGTTTCCTAGTCCTATAGGAAGATAGTACTTTTATCAGCATTTGTGCATTTCCTGAATTTGGGCAACAGGTTAGATTAAAATTGGGTTGCTTTGAATGTGTTGTGTGAACCCATGAAACTAAATTAATTCACCATAGTGTGATTACAGTCATTATTTATAAAGTGTTCTATCCCTGAGTCATTAACAGAATAAAATATTTAAACATGAATCACTATCTGTTCACACAGTTAAAAACTGCAGTTGCAGCAACTCAGAATACATTATTTGGCTAAAACAAGGAGTTGTAGCAATTAAAATGCTGAACAAAATAATTTCTTTGTAAAAGTTCCATTACCTGCCCAGAAAATAGTTGTTGGATACTCTCACCAAACTATTTCAAATGTGAGATCATTGTTGTCAGTACACATATAGGTGACAGATAAAAGAGATGTAAGGATAATATACTTGCAAATATAAAGTGAGAGTTCATCTTCAGATAGATAATACTGTAGGGATTCTATCAACTAAAGACATCCATTATGTCTCTCCAGACTATTCCCATAGATTTTTTTTGTTCCCAATTCTTTAACCTTTTGATCAATTGCAGATGTTCCATAATATATATTAAATGCTTCTTTTCCATAGAAATGCACATGCTGTTAAATTAATACAGAATCAGAAACATGAAAACAAGCTGCTTTACTTTATAGAAGACTGTCTCATTCCTTTGGTTTTTCCAATGGGACCGCAGATCTAAAGACTGCAATATATAATAGTATTAATAGGAAGTACTTGGGTACAATCTTCCACAGCTTTGTAACCTTATGATGAGATTCTGAAAGTCTTGTTATCATAACTTGCTATCAAGCACAGAGCATTATGTGATGAAATGGTGCCCATAGCATGCTGAACCAAAAACTACAAAAAGTACAAACAAACAGATTAAATTCTCACAATATTCTAGATCAGAGGTCTCCAACTTTTATGGCTTGGTAGCCCGGAGAAGCTGTGGCCTGTTTGGAACTGTAGGAAGTTAGCACCCACCCCTCTCCTAGAAAAATGAAATATCTTAGGAAATATTAAGAAGGCAGAATATTATATTTCCCTAGATCAGAAATGGAGAAACATGTTTTTAAAGACAAAGTAGCTCCCTGCAGCTTCCTCCCCCTCCTCAACGAACCACTAAAGCCTGAGTTAGTCTACTTTACATAATAAAGGTAGGATCAGCCTTCCACAGAAACTCACCACATGGCATCTGGAAACCCAATCAAGCTTGGGACTCAAAACACAGCCTAGAGAGTTGCCCCTGCATGGCCCCATGAGAGTGTGACAACCAATCAGAATACATTTCTTACACAGGAACAGGAAACGGACAGATGGTGCCAGAGTATAAAAAACCCAGCAAGCCCCTTCTTGGCCCTCTTCTCTTATTCACCCAACATCTGGGAGCATGTGACCCCCCCCCCTTTTCTGTTCAGGAACTCAAGCCATGTGATCCTGTTCACCATTAAACCATCTTTCCAAGCAGCCTCCATGTCTCCAATGTCTTTTTCCCCACTTGGAGCTGAATCCAGAAGGACATTTCTTCCAACAGAATCGAGCTGCACGAGTGTGAGGCTGTGAGCACATAACTCAACTAGCACAAGCAGTGGGCCAGCATACATGTGTGCAGCTCAAATAGTGCAAATGGTGGGCTGTTGAGCTGCTCTTGTGCGCATTAGCTACGCAAATGCACCAGTCTGCCACTCACACGGATTGATTCCAAACAGGCCATGGCCTGGTAGCTGGCCACGGCCTGGGGATCCCTATTCTTGATTGTTTTTGTGAGAATTCAGATCGCTGTATTTGTCAGGCAGAATTCCTTCTGCTCCTTATATGAAGTTCTGAGAAGCATAATGTTGATGCTTGTTTGAGAGGGACTGAATAAGCAAAAAACTTGTTAACATAACAAAGATTTTCTTGTTGCATTGTCTTCAATATGCTATAAAACTGTTGAATTTTGTTTCCATCCAGTTAAACTGTTTGCATGACAATCCATTGTTAACCAAGCCACTATTTCATACCTTAATCAAATGGCTTCGTTTCACAATCTAAATTTTGGATTTGAAAAACCTTTTGCTAATGGGCTAATTTGCAACTCAGTGGTTGTCTCTGAAGCAGACTTTTCATTCAATCCAGTTGCTTCGGTGTACCTTAAAGATAAAGTAACAAATGCACGAATATGCGTTGTACAGTACTTCAGTCTATTTTTATTGGCTACTTGTGGATTAAGGTGCTGTGCAGATGGAGGAAACTAGAATGAAGCATGGATCCGTTAATCATGGGATAGCATTCTACGTGAAGACAGGGGCTATCTTCCCCTGTACAAGGAAAACAGACTGCTTGCTCGTTATTTTTGGGAAGCCATTCGAAAGCAACATTCACTCCACCTCAGCGCCATTCCCCGCAAGGTAAGGTTGTGCCATGTGACCGCTAGTATCCAGACTCCAGAAGACGAGGCGTGGCTACCGCCCTTTCTTGAGCGGCTACATGATGCACTTTCTTCCTCCGACATGCGTAAGCGGTTCGGCTTCCTCTCGCGTTTGCGCCGGGACACGTGACAGGCAGAGACGGCGGCCGGCCCGGCTCACAGCCCGCGTGTAGCGTTCGCTTCTGGCTTGCCGCCCCCTTCCTTCGTTCTTTCTCTCTCTCCTTCGGAGCTGACGCCGCGGCCTCAGCCTGGGCACGCGGGGAGAGCACAGGTACCTCGCCCGGGGGTGGTAGTGATGGTCGGCGGAGGGTCAGGAGCCGCCGGTACGAGGCGGATGGCGCGAGTTTCGGCCTAGGCAGGAGGAGTTGGGTGAGGGGGAGCCTTTCAGGAGTTCGGCCAAAGCTGACCCGAAGGTGCTGCGGCCGGATGGCGCGAGGAGGGCCGGTGGCAGAGCGGAGCCTCTTGATTGTCTGAGGAGACGCCGGCCATGCTTGAGCGGGGTGGGTCGGTGGGCGCGACGCCGCCGGCTGAGCTCCTCGGCGTGGCGGCTGGCGTGGGGAGCGACCCCGAAGCTTCAGTTGCGGCTGGTGGGGGCCCTCCGGTCTCGGGAGGGACAAGTGGCTTTTCGGGGAAGGGGGCTCTGGTGCCCCGCCGTGGCGGCTGCTTACCGTGGTGCGCCTCTGTGTAGGAGGTGATGCTGCGGAACCCGGGCGGGCGGAGACAGAAAAGCCAGCGCGTTGGGGAAATGTGCGGAAATGTGCTTCAGACATACAGGACAAAAGCCTTGGGCTGATCGAGAGAGCCCGCCGGTTCCCTTAGCCCGGTATCTGCTTTACCCCCCAACAACTGCCCCACACGCTTTCGAAAAGCCCGGAAAGGGCAAGAAAGTCCTGCTTTCTTTTTCTTAATGCGATTGTCTCTTGGGCCCTCCCTCCTCCCGGTACGTGGAGGTAATCATCTTTAACATGGAGGCCCCGTTGAATTGTGGCTGATGGTTGCCTGGCGGGATCATGGAATAAAAGGATTTCCTGGGTTCTGCCCGGCGTGGACTGAGTTTTTCAGTGGATTTAGTCCGTCCGTCCCGTCCCCCCCCTTCAAAACAACTGTTACAGAATGGTAGAATAGCTTTATTTTTCGGTCTATGGTCTCCTTTCAAGCATTTATGCTTGATTTTATAAGAGCTTACATTAGAAGGAATGCAACCTAAATTTAAAATTATTGGCATTTTTTTGCCAGTCGACGAGTACAAATGTCTGCTGTTAGCAGCTCTTGATTCTTCTATATATTTCTTCACAATTGAAGGTTCCATATACTGATTTTTTCATAGCAATGCTTGCCTTGTATTTTC